GGGGGGGCACACAGTGGGGCAGTGTGTGTCCCCCCCCACACACTTTCCCCCTCGGTGACCCCCCCCTCAGTCCCCAGCGCCGTCTCAACGCTCAGCGATGATCTGCTCAAGTATTACCAGAACGTCACCCGCGCAGTGCTGGGGGATGACCCCCACCTCATGAAGGTGAATATCCTGGGGGGGGGAGGACACAGACACAACATAAATATGGGGAGGGGGACCCACACAACCCTCCCCCCCCCCCGCAAACCTTCTCCGCCCCATAGGTGGCGCTGCAGGACCTGCAGACCAACCCTAAGATCGCGGCGCTGCTGCCCTATTTCGTCTACGTCGTCAGTGGGGTGAGCTGGGGGGGGTAGGGGTGGATGGGGGGGGGTTGCGGGGGATCTGGGGGGGTTGGGGTCTCGTTGGGGTCTTGTTGGGTCATTAGGTTCCCACTAGGGTCCCGTTGGGTTATTTGGGTCCTTTTGGGACGTTGGGTACCAGTGAGGTCTTGTTGGGTTCCATTGGGTTCCCGCTGGGTTCCATTGGGGTCCTGTTGGGGTCTTGCTGGGGTCCCATTGGGGTCTCATTGGGTCATTAGGTTCCCACTGGGGTCCCATTGGGTTATTTGGGTCCTGTTGGGATGTTGGGTCCCGTTGAGGTCCTGTTGGGTTCCACTGGAGTCCTGTTGGGTTTCGTTGGGGTCCTATTGGGTCACGGGGGTCTCATTGGGGTCTCATTGAGTCATTCAGTTCCCATTGAGGTCCTGTTGGGTTATTTGGGTCCTATTGGGTCATTGGGGTCTTATTGGGTCACTGGGGTCTTGTTGGTTTCCAGTGGGTCACTGGGCTGTCATTGGGGTTTTATTGGGTTACAGTGGGGTCCTGTTGTATTTTTGGGGTCTCATTGGATTCTGTTGGGGTCTCATTGAGTTCCCGTTGGGTCTTTGGGGTCCTGTTGGTGTCTCATTGGGTCACTGAAATCTTATTGGGTCTTTGGGGTCTCATTGGATCCGATAAGGGTCTAATTGAGGTCCTATTGGGCCACTGGGGTCTCATTAGATCCCGGTGGAGTCCCATTGGGTCTTGTTGGATCCTACTGGGGCCTCATTGGGTCCCCTTGGGTCATCGAGGTCCCATTGGGTCACTGGGATCTCCTTGGATCCTCTTTGGGTCTCACCCCATTGGGTCACTGAGGTCCCATTGGGTCCCATTTGGGGTCCCATTGGATCCCACTGGTGTCCCATTGCCTCACTGAGCCATCGGGTCCTGTCAGATCACCGCATCGCCACCCTGATCCCATCAACACCCATCACTCCATCACCCCCACAGCATAATGGGCGACAGCGGGGGGCGCCCATGCCCCCCCAAGCCCCCCATAAGCCCCCAACCCCCCCGTCCTCCCCCAGGTGAAGTCTGTGAGCCACGACTTGGAGCAGCTGCGGCGCTTGCTGCAGGTCGCGCGCTGCCTGGTGCTCAACCCCTTCCTGTGCCTGGGTTCCTACGGGCGCAGCCTGGTGGGTTCCGTCCTTTACTGCGCCCTCGAACCCCTGGCTGCCTCCATCAACCCCAGGAACGACCACTGGACCCTGCGGGATTCTGCTGCCGTCCTGCTGGGCCGCATCTGTCGGTGGGCTGGGGGGGAGGGGGTGGGAAATGGGGGGAAGGAATGGGGTCGGGTGGGAGAGGGGAGG